AAGCTCTGCTTCCTGACTTAAGGTCAATATTGATTTTCAACAGACTGTAAGGTAGGAGTGGGGCACAATGGAGGTTGTTTGTGTGTTCTTGTGGTCTCAGTGTAAGCGGCCCCTTGGACTCAAGTTATTTCTCCTCGCATCTGCACAGAGTTAACAAAGCAAGAGGATTTTTCTGTCTTCAAAGGAAGCTTTTGGACGCTGTTGGTTTATGTGCCATTGGTGTTAACCACAATGCATGTAATGGCAACTACAATAAACTGTGGCAAAGTAAATATCCATTGGTTTTCAAACCAAACACAATGTAACTCTCCCTTGCTGCCCTTCTCTGCTTCACAGAAGTTCAGAAGAAAAAAGTTACTTTTCAAAGTGAAATGATTATTGGATATAACTTTCAATAAGAATGCAACATTGTTCAGAATGTCAATAGTCATGATTATTCCAGTCACAGTGTAATTGACTGTTCATATAGATATGGTTTTCATGATGGTCAATACTATTGATTTGAGTCAGTCTTGTGGGGTTTATGGGTTTACTGATGCAGACAACCAGAGCCACACTCTGGGCCAAGCCTTCAGGCCTTGTTCTCACGATTGTCCATCTGGGTTCGATTGAGAAATTAATACTATTGAATGAACTAAAACAAACAATAACTTTGTACTCTAGCTATTTCTTAGTCAATTTGCAGAAGCCTCACATATTTATAATATGTTTTAAACAAGCCAAAATGTTTTGAATTTGAATAAACAGTATATTCATTATATTTGTTTAATTTAGTATTTTATTGTGCAGCACTTTGGAAACTGTGTTTATGAAATGTGCTATATGAATAAAGTGGATAGGATTTAAATTTGTAAACATAATCTATCTCTCTATAGGAGGTAACAGGATCAAACCATACACCTGTAGATCACTGATAACTGTAATGGTTGGTCTCTCTGATCTGATCATCTGAAACCCAACTGGTTAGTGCATTATAAGTAAAGCTTACTCACTTAGTTTCTTTAGTTTGTGATTGTTGAAGTAAAGTTTTATTGAGTTTTCTGAAATTCAGCCTTATTCCTTCCTATACAGTAATAAAACAGAGTTATGAGATCAGCTACATCGATCTTTATCACACTGTTCCTTCAGGTCCTGATTGTGAAATTTTGTATTTTTGGTTTAATTTGAGAATACATCTGGAGTCTTTCAGCATGTCGTTGTTGTGGCCAGTTGGCATAAAAAGGGATATTTGACTGGTGTTGGCTGTATGTCACTGTGGCGCGGGTGGCTCCCTGGGGTCGTTATGTTTTCTCAACATTTAACATAAAGTAACGACCGGATATGTCAGCAGGCATGCAGACATAGAGGTCACAAGAGAATCCCTTTTCCCCTCAAACCTCCTCTCTTATGGACTCATCCCAAAGCTGGAGTGGATATAACTGACTTAGATCGAACTGGATTCTGGATATGTTTGCTTCAGTATGTCTACAGTAATGATGTCATACCACATCCTAAAGTGCTGCACTGAAGTCTTCATTCTCTCAAGCTACATTGGGTGGTGCTTGGTTACTGCTCCATCCACAACTGTCCTGACTAAAGACTATACTTTTTATACCCCAGTGCCAATGCACACTGCCCACATACTGCACCCCCATATATACTGCTCACATACTGCACCCCCATGTACATTGCCCACATTCTGTACCCCATGTACTACTTGTGGAGACACTATCAAAAGAGCAGCTTACACAGACTGAATGTGGCCTATAAAAAGGAGCAGTTTTGGTTCCCGTGGTGGAGCAGCGGGCCAATGCATGTGCATGAACGAAAGCTTGATGCAGGGCAGGTAAGAATTGGCACCTGTTGAGTGTGATGGACTGATTACTGTTCAGCGCAGCAACAAAGGGAGGACTGAGGGCAGTGAGCCAGTGCACACCAATGGGGGTGGGTCCCAGCACAAAAGGGTTCATGAGCATGTGCGCTGTCATGCTGGCAAACTGTCTCCTTGCTGGTGGTGGCGTACCCGGAAACAGAATTATCCAATGAATTTTTAAGGCGCCTTTTTTCCTCTTGAAAACAGCTTTAAAGCTGCACTAACTGACTTTGGGATTTTGAAGCAGCGTACCCGCTGGCCTCTCTCTTTCTGCTCCCCTCCCCGCACCCACGAAGCTATCGCCCCCCCACACACACCCACTGTTGTTGACGGAGCTAGCGTCTCCCAATATGGATAATACATGGACATGGATTTGCACGTGAATGGCGTGACCATAGAACGATAGAACCGGGAAGCGCGGATGAACGAGACTTTCTTTTGGATGGCTGTCTCACTGTGTAAGCAGTAACCGGTGACGAAGACGAGGAAGCTTCAGGTTAGCTCCGCCGCTTGTTGTGCTAACTCAGCTGTCTATGCTAACAGACCTGTAGATTTCTCACGAAAGTCGGGGCTAGTGGTCCGCTGTGATTGGTCACAATCTGCGACCCGAAACACATTCTCTTCCTTGTTCAATCAAAACTCGATCTAAAATATAATGTCACGCCAGCACAAATCTGCGCTACTTTTTCTTCAAAAGGACGTACAGTGCCTTGCGAAAGTATTCGGCCCCTCTTGAACCTTTTAACATTTCGCCACATTTCAGGCTTCAAACATAAAGATATAAAAAAAATATTTTTTGTCATGAATCAACAAGTGGGACACAATCGTGAAATGGAACAAAATTTATTGGATAATTTAAACTTTTTTAACAAATAAAAAACTGAAAAGTGGGGCGTGCAATATTATTCGGCCCCTTTACTTTCAGTGCAGCAAACTCACTCCAGAAGTTCAGTGAGGATCTTTGAATGATCCAATGTTGTCCTAAATGACTGATGATGATAAATAGAATGCACCTGTGTGTAATCAAGTCTCCGTATAAATGCACCTGCTCTTTGATAGTCTCAGGGTTCTGTTTAAAGCGCAGAGAGAACCATGAAGACAAAGGAACACACCAGGCAGGTCCGAGATACTGTTGTGGAGAAGTTTAAAGCCGGATTTGGATACAAAAAGATTTCCCAAGCTTTAAACATCTCAAGGAGCACTGTGCAAGCAATTATATTGAAATGGAAGGAGTATCAGACCACTGCAAATCTACCAAGACCCGGCCGTCCCTCCAAACTTTCATCTCAAACAAGGAGAAGACTGATCAGAGATGCAGCCAAGAGGCCCATGATCACTCTGGATGAACTGCAGATAACTACAGCTGAGGTGGGAGAGTCTATCCATAGGACAACAATCAGTCGTGCACTGCACAAATCTGGCCTTTATGGAGCAAGAAGTGGCAAGAAGAAAGCCATTTCTCAAAGATATCCATAAAAAGTCTCATTTAAAGTTTGCCACAAGCCACCTGGGAGACACACCAAACATGTGGAAGAAGGTGCTCTGGTCAGATGAAACCCAAATTTTTGGCAATGCAAAACAATATGTTTGGCGTAAAAGCAAAACAGCTCATCACCCTGAACACACCATCCCCACTGTCAAACATGGTGGTGGCAGCATCATGGTTTGGGCCTGCTTTTCTTCAGCAGGGACAGGGAAGATGGCTAAAATTGATGGGAAGATGGATGGAGCCAAATACAGGACCATTCTGGAAGAAAACCTGTTGGAGTCTGCAAAAGACCTGAGACTGGGACGGAGATTTATCTTCCAACAGGACAATGATCCAAAACATAAAGCCAAATCTACAATGGAATGGTTCACAAATAGACGTATCCAGGTGTTAGAATGGCCAAGTCAAAGTCCAGACCTGAATCCAATCGAGAATCTGTGGAAAGAGCTGAAGACTGCTGTTCACAAACGCTCTCCATCCAACCTCACTGAGCTCGAGCTTTTTTGCAAGGAAGAATGGGAAAGAATTCCAGTCTCTCGATGTGCAAAACTGATAGAGACATACCCCAAGCGACTTGCAGCTGTAATTGTAGCAAAAGGTGGCGCTACAAAGTATTAGCGCAAGGGGGCCGAATAATATTGCAAGTCCCACTTTTCAGTTTTTTATTTGTTAAAAAAGTTTAAATTATCCAATACATTTCGTTCCACTTCACGATTGTGTCCCACTTGTTTTTGATTCTTGACAAAAAATTTCATTTTTATATCTTTATGTTTGAAGCCTGAAATGTGGCGAAATGTTGAAATGTTGAAAACCCAAATACTTTCGCAAGGTACGGTATATCCCATTTTATTTTCGTAATTAATACAAAAATAAAGTCAGTTAGTGCAGCTTTAAAGCTTGGTCCAAAAGTTTGCTCTTGGCTCAACGCTACGTTCCAGATGTGTGTCAATGTTGAGGGGAGTTTTGTGAATTAACACGTTATTTCAGCCATGTGTCTGGCTGGATCCATCTAACGCATGTACAAATGATACAACCTCTGCTCCGAAAGTAACTTGTGCCAGCTAACGAATGCGTAAAAGGGTTTTTTTATAATCGTTTTCCTGCGGGAGGGGCTACTCACGGCCATTTTCAAACGGTACATGTTGATCACACAAACTGTACATTTCAACAGAGGAAATAGGCGTCAATACGTCCGTTAATATTTAGTCTATGGTGCACATGCAGCTTCTCCTGTCTTCCAGTTTGAACATCCGCTTAAGCTGTATTTTATTATTATCAATAAAGTCTAATAATAATTACTGTTGATATTGTATTGAATCTGAAAGATACCCATTCACTCATAGTATTCAGAATTCAGAGAATGTAAAGAAGGTTCAAATGGCTACTTCTGTCTGCATTGTTTTCCTGCCCCTGAGATATTAGTCTGCAAACAGGAAGGTTTATAATCATTCTAATTGAAGTATTTTAAGTATTCGTCAACAGTCGGATGCACTTCCTCTGGGTTATTCGTATTAATGAAACACTTTATAACATAACAGGCCATGAATTCATTTCCACAGTCACGTAGGACGCTGCTCTCTGATTGGACGGCTTGATTGACAGTTGAATGGTCAGTGTTTTGGCGGATGGCGCTCAGTGGAGGGGTCCCCCAGTCACTGCATGGGGGTCACAGAGGGGGCAGTGAAGTGCAGGCTCCTGGCTCCTGCTGTGTACGCAGTCATGTGCAGAATGTGGGCCATCTTCAAAGAGCTCATCCAGTCACTTCCTCTGTGCTGCTAATCTGTGCACTAACATGGCACATATAAAAGGCCATCTAGTGTCCAGTCATTTCATTTTGGGGAGTCAAATTTTTGCTATTAAAACGTACCTTTTTGTTCCTTTGTGTCATGTTTCTTATATATTTAAATAGCTAAGACGGAGGTCATCTTATCTTCATGATCTTCTGTGAAAAATATGGATAAAAGGAAAGCATCCATTTGACCAGCCCTAAGCCCAGGACAGAAGCAGTATGTAGATGGTATGGAGCAAACTGCCACACATGTTCTGTTCAGTAATAGTCTTTTTAGAATGGAGCATTGTCTCCTGAGCTTTCTGGATGCATAAACTTTGTCACGGTGTCATGTTGATAAAACTGCCAGATCTGATTATGGGACTGTCTTCAGCGTCTGCTTCAGATTTATAGATGTTGAGAAAAGAACATTGGTTTATGAAACACTTTTTGTTCACATGGCAAACTCAAAAGTGATGTGGAGAAAGAAAGGTCAGAGAGCACATGAAGGGGCTGTCGCGCTGAACAATATCAACTCTTTAACCAAATGTTCACACTATTTATTATTTTCACACAAGAGTCAGGTTTAGAAGCATGTGATGCTTTGTTGATTTGTCTAACTTTATTCTGTGTCGGAAAAATATGCAGTGTCAGGATATAAATCCAATATGAACTATTTTAATGTTTATCTTTATCTATATTTATATAGTGCCTTTCAAAGACCAGTGTCACAAAGCACTTAACAATTGTTGCGGGCATTTATATATAGTATGATATATATGAGGCGGAGGTTTGTGTGTATTACTTTTCTGGGACTTTATCTGCATTCATTGGAATGCAGATGGTTCCTTATGACTGACAGTCATTGACATTTTATCACTCGGTCAGAGGCTATTACCAGTATTTTATTTTATTTGATTACACTCCAAATCCAGTCCAAAGTAGAATAAATAATTTGTCCAACATTGAGTTAATTGATGCAAAAATCCAAGATCCTGAATCTGGTTAGCTCAAACCAAGGCTCCATCTTTAAACTATTTATTTTCATGATTCAATCAGTATCATTTCCAGTTCTCTTCACTGCACTATACACATGGCACACACTTTAAATGTATTAACATGTACTTTTACACTAAATGAGAGCCTCTTCTGTCAACACCAGGACTCAGCCTCACATAACCCCAACTTGATCCTTCACCTCTGCTCATAAATATCCCCCCTGAAGAACAAGGGTCACTTTTGTCTTCTCGCCTACACTTTCTCTCAATGTGATTTACATGTACAGCTGTAAAACCAGCTTTGTAAAAACACTGTGCTTTAATTTCTTTGAGTAAATTTTAAACGAACGCTGCTCGTTTGGCCTGTTCACTGTCTGCATGTGCAGACTTCCCAGTGCGTAAGGGCCCACCTAGAGTGACACTGCGCCTCGTAAAGAAATCAAGTTCAAGTTTTGGGAAGGGATTTGTTCCCCGGGAGAGTGTTGAGTTTCACTCGTAAGTCTGTGGACGAAACAAGCGGCGTTAACAAAAGAGAGGCAACTTAGCCACCTGAAAGAGGATACACACCACTGCATACCTTCAATCACACATAACCCCCGTGTTTTCTGAGATTAACATGTAGTCATCAAACATGCTCAGCCAGTTTAAACTCATCACCCATCAGTATTGTTCCACAGTCCACATAAAAGTGCTACTTTCCACAATTATACTTTCTCATTCGATGTGTCGGACTGTGTCATTCTTGATTGTTTTGTCTGCATAAGATTATGTGAATAATGAGTTTAATGTAATGTGCATTATTTGTATTATGGCAATTATCTGGAGACATGCATGTGACCCTGCACCAAAGTTAGAATGCATTTTTTACCAACTTTTTTGTGTACCACAGAGTGGCTTTCACAATTCACAAATACAATGAAAAAGTGGAATTGTGACAAAATGACATTTACCATGATGAAAGTATGAGTGTGACTTGCCAGGGGATTGTTCCCCTCTGGTTTGACCGTCCCTCTTCTATACCCCAACCTCTGCTTATAGGCGCAGATCCCGCCCACCTTCATGGACACCATGAAGATATACTTATTGTCCCTGGAGGGAAATGCATCTTCTGCAGTGTAAACAACTGTCCTGATAGACGTTATAATAATTAATTGTCCTTTTGGTTTGGCATTTTTGTTCTCAAATGTTGGTTAAGGCTTTGGTACAGACATTTTTGCATATTATATCAGAGGTTTGTTTATTTAAATGTTTCCATAACGCCGTTATACATTAAATCAGCCTGTGTTTTGAGAGTTGGTGTGGTAAAGAGCAACCCTGATCGAGTAGGTGTGATGAGCCAGTCTGTGCTGTCAGAATGTGTCAGACCTGGAGGCTGGCTCACCTTGTGTGTCCTGTCCCAGGGCAGCTGCACCTGCGGCGTGTCCTGCCTCTTAAGTTTCTCCTCTCAGCGGGCACCGGCTCCACTCCAAAGGCCCAGAGCAACAGATAGAATCTCCGCAGTCTCCAGACGAGCTGACAGGGATCCTGACCCGTGACCTGATCCGGGCCTCATGTCCAAACATTCGCCCCAAAAAAACTCAATAAATCCTCCTCCAATAGAAGGCCATGCTTCTTGCAACTGGCTTGGGTTAATACTAGCCATACCATTTAAAGGATTTATTACTCAGGAGAAATCAGCATCATGTCAGAAATTAAATCACTGCTTTATCATATTACACATTTGCGCACACATCTTGAAAATGACTATTTGTTGTAATTGCTTGGAAACAGAAACCATGGCAGTGAAAGCATCCACAATTTGCTGACGTCATTATTATCACGTGTGTAAGATTATCAATTCATGGCGGTAACGGAAAATAAAGTTATTCAGCATTCTATAAAACAACTCGCAGAACAGGAAGCAAAAGACCAAGTCAGTGAAAAGGTTTGGAGGCAACTGCTTTTGGAGACTTACCCACGTTTTTTAGTCATATAAATAATAGCATAGAAGTAAAATGTTGAGAACACATCAGACCATCTCCATCCTCAACAAATTGCAAACGTTGAAGAATTTGCCCTGCGAGTCACTTTTTGACATTTTGGGCTGAGAGCTGTTTGACTGAGTGAGGGTCGTCCTCCTTGTTTGACTTCTGTGGAAAAACCCAAACATAGATGCATGAGAAAACTAGAGATAGAACCACTGTTTTACTTTTAGAATTTACATTTTATCATTTATCGTTCAATATTGTGGTTTAAAAAGTTAGGTTCCCCAGCTTTAATACGTTATGTAACTTTTCTAATCTGAAGATGGGAGAACATAAAAGACATTCTTTTTTTTTTTTTTTTTTTCTTTTTTTAAACCGGGATGGAAAAATTAAGCTTTGTTATCAATATTTGAATATCCTTATTATGTTTCCTTTCTTCTCTTTGCGTAACACTCCAATAAAACATATTAAAAGAACAATAAAAATACTTTATAAATACAATAAATAAAATGAAGCTCTTTGGGTTGTGTAGAAAGCTTTTCTTTGGAGAAAAAAATGTGTTTTATAGAAGGCTATGATGCTGAAATAACACACATATATCTTTCCATGGGGAGGATAAGTTGACCTAGAGACAAACTTGTTAATTATGAGCCGGCAGAGAGGGGGAGGCCTTTTGAAAAACGGATTAGCATGTTTCACTGTGTCTATGTGTGCGTCCTCCCATGACCAGAAAGCTTCTGCCGCAGGAAAAATCACTGACCTCTATTAATCAGGCCAACTTTGTACACCGCCAAACTCACCCACTTTCAATGTGTGACTTCATCTTAGCGAATCAAAGTTTCATCCATTCTCCCGACCGTCACACCTCCTGGCAGCGCCGGTGTAATACTGCTCGCTTAACTACAAATTGCGGTTTGGTTGCACACTCATTGATAATTGCAGGGTGTGCAGTGGGAAAATGGCAAATGATTGAAAAAGCAGGATCTGGTGAGCACATAATTAACAGTTAAAGGTCTCTGAAGTTTTCATCATTGTGGTCTAATTAATTGTGTGAAGTGGAAAGTGCTGCTGTAAACTCCGGGATTCTGTGTAAAAGATTATCGCATGATCAAAAAGGGATTTATCATGTGGTTACAAGGAGCTTTTGAGAGACATGCTGTGAGTGTAAATGCAACTCTAAAACTACATAGGCTGCCTATGTGTCAGAAGGTGACTATGTCTTTAACCATTTACTGCCATTTGACTAAGTTATGGAGGCCAATACTGATAATCTACCCAACTCATATAGCCTTCTTGGGCTCCAAAAATTAGAAAGTGTTTGCAGTTAGGACATAAATCTCTCTCTTTATGAAACTTGATTTACTCGCTAGGACCACACCACAAAACAAATCAAGCAATTATAATAAAATGTGTATTGTTGGCAGAAGCTTGATGGCTGGATGAGACTTGGGGCGGGGGCTCAGGGCTCATGTCTCATGTTATCTGCCCAGCTGATTCAGGAGACAAGGAGAAGAAGAGGGTGGGAGTGCACAGATACAAACGTGTGAGTTTTTTATGACGCCAACAGACCATGGGAAGGAGATTTCGGCAGGTCCCAAACTTGGATCTAGATCATGTCTGAATAGGGTATTACTATCTTTCTATCTTCCCCACCCATGGTCAGAGCGGGGCGCCCATGGTACTGCAGACAAAATTCATCTGGGCTACCCAGAAAAATGTCCCATAGAATTCAATGTAAAGCAACAGCTTTCATAAAGGTCGGATTTTGTGGGGATTTTTGTGTTCCTTGTCATCCTGAACTTTTTGTCTTGTTAAATTAATTGGTTTTCTTTAAATCCACACTTCAGTGCAACTCTGCTTGTTTGTATAGCTCCGCTCTGATCAGTAGCCGCTGATTGGTCAGAAAGCAGCTGTGAGAGCCACAGACGCGTTTTTGGCGCAAAGCCTCATTGGAGCTCCATCACTGCGCAGAACCGGGAGGACCAGAGGATGCCCAAATATGGGCGAGTTCCACCAATCTTTTGGTGCCCATGGTGGCACATGCGCCACTGAGCACGAGCCACTGATTTCAATTGGCTGCCATCTTGGATCACCGGGGATTGGTCCCAAACCGCACCCCTGGCTGCAGCCAGGTCCGGTGCTAGAGCAGCTTTGGTGCAGGGTCTGACTTCCGGCCGCCCATGTGAACACAGGTCTGACCTTGTCTAGGGACCTGGCCCGCCCCAGCAAAGGGTCCAGACTTTCCATATTCCTGGTGAAACCCCAAAGTACGTGTTCTCTGGGGGGAACTTTGGAGTAAGTTCTAGTTACTGCTGACATTTGCCTTCCTACCGGAAAACTCCCCTAACTGTGCGATGGAGGGCATAGAGCTGGTCCAGGTTTCAAAGCCGGGACAAAAAACAGTGCTCTTCCTGAATCCAAAGTTCCACAATCAGTTCAACTCTCATTGTTACCTGGAATACCCCTCACTGTAAAATATGTAAATTATTATAATGTTTCTCCAAAGCCTATTGTCTTAATATGTTGTAGCTGATTGATAAATGACTTTTGTTGTTTAATAATTTTTTTCCGTTTTTTTATTTGCTGAGCACAAGAACTCTGACCAGTTGAAACAAGTATATAAATGATATTGTCAGTATAAGGCCTTTGGACTGATGCCCGTTCATGTTTATGTATATAACAAATGTGTGTGCATTTCTCTCCACAGCCTTGCACAGAGGAATGTGGCTTGGACAGGAGGAGGAGGAGTGGGGAGGTGGCGCATTGTACTCTACCTTTCTGGTTAATTTCCACACTTAGATTGCCTGCTATCCATTTCCTATTGTGGATCCAGTGTAAACATATAACAGGTACATACAAGTGGCTTACACAACTTGCATGTCATAAAATCACTGTTGACAATTTGGGTGGGGCTTAATGGAAGTTTACAGAATTATGAATCAACGCATTTAGGATGCCATTCAACTTTTTATAGGAACGGTTCTCAGGGTATTGCACCTTGAGAACCTTAATCATTCAGTCAAAGGGGAAAATGTATTCCTAAATTATTGTCAGAAAATAGTTCCTGCTGATTTCTAAATCATGTTCGCGGGCAAATCCAGGCTTATAATTTAGCGGATATAACTGCTTGTATCTTTTAAACAAGTTACGATGGGTTAAAAAGTTGTAAATGTCAACTGAGTGTCATTTATACTTCATTGCATTTTCCCCACGGTTTATAGTTTCATTAGTACTTTTTACTGTCAGAAACAGGATCTCAGGAGGAGGCATGGGAGCAGGGATTTCAGCTGGTACAGAATATAGTTTCTGTTGAATCAGCTGGCCTTTCGCAGAACTTAAGTCGAGTTGAAGTGTTTGTTAAGTGCTGCGTTCTGATAACCCAGAGCCACGGCACCTGTGTGGTCGCTAACACAGCACCTGGAGGCAAGGGGCCTGTGACAGCTCCGACAATGGGACACGGACATAGATAAGGCAGTATGTGTGTGTGTGCAGAGAACACACCCGAAGACGCTTTCACTACAGATAAGAGAAACACAAATACTATTCATTACTAAGCTTGGCACAAGTCATGTTTGGTCTTTAAAAGTGATGGATGGAACTTTAGATAAGAGCTGGGTTACTACAAATATGTTTCATCTTACAACATGTTCTTAATTTGAATTGTAGCATGGTATCTTGGTAACTTGCCCCATAGAATGAAATATCTTACTGGATATCAGAATGTTTTGTGTAATTTTTAAATTGTGGGTTTACTTATCTTTTATGTTGTTGTTATTATGTTTGACACACACAGATCTGGGGCAGAAGAACATATATGAAAATAAATGATGAAAACCGCAATAATCAAACAAAGCAAAATTGAAAAAAATACATATTTGGTTTAGGGCCCGGCAATTAATTGAACAGTTTTATTAATCACTGAATTGATTGTGAAAAACAGGGCAATTCACAAACAACAAAATATGTATCTTTTAGCTTCTTTCATTAATTCAATACATTTAATCGCAATAAATATGAGAATCTACTTTTTTGCCTTATCACTGCCTTGATTTTTTAATACGTTTTATGATACTCTCTTTAAAATCAGTCCCTCTCCGTGGAATAAGACGGTAAGATTAGCCGGAGGAGAATGATTAGACCAATGGTGAGGGGCCTCAGCTGTCTATCAAGGATTTGAATCAATTGCGTCCAATCAGGAACCAGTAGGGGCGGGTCAGACTGGCGCTTGCATTCAAAAAACTCTCCAACTTGACAATAAGAAAAATACAAAAAACTTTAAGTCCCATGTAAAATGTATGTAGTTTAATGTATGTGCAATAACAGTGTGGTGGAAATGATAAAAACCCCTATTATCTATTGGAACAGCCATGATCCATTGCTGGGAGCCGCCATATGTCGCACCTGCAGGTTTGTGAGCTGACTATAAATTAGAGTAAAGCCTGGAAAATAATCACATTCTAAGAAAAAAAGCTCCCAGTCCCTGCTTGTTCCTTTTTTTTTCATCGTGGTCCCAACATATAGAAATATGATCGATGTTGACAGGCTAACCTTAGGCCGGGTTAAAGTACAGTATTCTCCTCTCTCTGGATTTTTCCTTTCATTTTTCTTCCTCCACTGACC